ACACTCTGACATTGGTTTTCAGTTAACTCAGTTCCCAGGTCAAAAATGGCGAAGGAACGGCAGGGTGAAAGGTCCGAAAAGTTGAAGGTGTTTGAACAAAGGCTGTTTCTCAAGTCTGCAGAAAGTCGGCGGTGGCGAAAACGAGCGGCGCAGCTGACGGCGGCAAAAGAAAAAGAAAAAAGTTTAAGGGGTAGGTATCATGAAGGACCATGAATCAAACTGATCAAATTGGACAGCGTGTTCAACAGTTGTAGCAGGTACGTTTGCAGCCCCCCCCAGTGGCCTCTTCGTTGGCCATCCGCCACTGGGGAGGGGGATGGCCCCCTGCTGTGAAAAAGGTAGAAGTTGGCAGTGAACCCTTTGGCACAGGGGTTGACACACACACACACACAGACACACACACACACAGAGAGACCCACACACTGCCTCAACACACCCGACTTAACACTTCACACTGAACACTTAACACATAACTCACACTCTAACTTCACACGTGATGAAAAATGCTTTTTTCCACATTGGCCCGAATGCATGGGCTGTCGCGGTGGCGGGAGAGAGGTGCAGAGCTTGCACGGCGAAAGGTTGGACGGTGATGCAGAAGAGATGTTTACAGGAGGGAGGCACCATCTTCGGGTCCTACCAAGGAACCGGTGACTGCGGAGTCACTGCGACGCTTGGCGCAGGAGCTGGGAGACCGACCCTCCGAGGCCGTCTGAGGCGTGTGCATATGAGGAACGCGGAGCCGTCCTTGGTGGATAGCTTCGGATGTGGGCCTATGCGAGCACATGCATCGCAACAGGCTGGTGGATAGCATCGTTCTATCGCTCTGTCCGCTGCGAGCGCCCGGCGCTGAAGATGATGTGAGGTATCACTTTTGGCGCTGGCTCTCAGATTGCCGGACCGTTCCTGCAGCAGACCTCGTAGCAAAGGTTTCCTGCGACACAGTTGCGGCGATCTATGCTTAGTATTTGCGAAGATGTTCCGTTTGAAAGTATTGAGAGGAGGCATGGAAGCGCGTCCGCGGAGCTGGAGCAATTGAGCCAGGCCACCGTTGCCATCTTGCAGCACCTTTCTGCTTTGAATGTTCTGTTTCCAGCATGCTGCTGCAATGATGGGCTGCTGCTGCTGCTGCCGCAGCAGCAGGTGACTCAGCAGCTCCATGCCGAAGGGCATGGCGACTGGACGCTGGGTCTTTTAGATTCGGATGTCCTGGTTGCTTCTTTCCGTCCATAACCGAGTTCAGGCGCGAGTCTTCGCGAGTCTTCACGAGTTGCTTTGGTTTGGAAACGGTTTGGGTGAATGTTGCGGAGCTAGCAGTCCTAGACTCCTATAGACCTTGTGCCTGCGTACGCTTCCGTCTTCCATTTGGGCGTTGCGTAGAAGGAAACAGGCTCCCCTTTGGCAAGACCTGCTCCAACCCTTTAGATATTCATTGAAAAACATGGCTTTTTCCCGAAAGCATTGCGAAGGGTTCTTCCGGAAAATCTCTTGAACACTGACACTTCTACACTTACACTCACACACTGACACTTCCACACTTGCACTTGAACACTGACATTTCAACACTTACGCTTCCACACTTACACTTGAACATGAACACTTACACTTCTATACGTATCCCAGTGTAAGTGGAGTGAAAGCATCCAACGGCAAGTATCCAAGTGCAAAAGTATGCAAGTGCAATGCAAGTGTGAGTATGGAAACCTTGCACGGGAGATGTCCTAATGAGTATATGCAATGAGTATGCAAGTGTGAGTATGGAAAACTTGCACGGGAGATGTCCTAATGAAAAACATTTCCCCACTTTAATAAATTATAAAGGCGGAGGGTGGGACGCACAGCGTCAACCGAAAATGCAACCCTCTGCGGAGATCGTGCGTGTCGAATGCGCGAAATGCAGGCGAGAGTGCGATTTGCCGGCTGCCCGCGCGATCGTGCGTGTCGAGTGCGCGAAATGCAGGCGAGCGTCCGATTTGTCCTGGGCGCGCGCAACCCTCTGTGGAGATCGTGCGTGTCGAGTGCGCGAAATGCAGGCGAGAGTGCGATTTGCCGGCTGCCCGCGCAACCTTCTCCACATATCGTGCGTGTCGAGTGCGCGAAATGCAGGCGAGAGTACGATTTGTCCGGTGCGCGTGCAACCCTCTGCGGAGATCGCGCGTGTCGAGTGCGCGAAATGCAGGCGAGCGTGCGATTT